GACGCCGGTTCGATTCCGAGCCCGTCTGCCTTGGTCCAAGTTTTTCTGTGGTTTCCTTAGATCTCTTAGGCAAATGCTGAGGCAGTAATATTCCACAGATAATCTTTCGTTCTCTTCTGTCTTCATTTCGTCCGTCTCATCTTTCTCACCCAAACCACCACCCACCCATTCCCACGATTCCTGAAAGGAGACTGAAGACGGCCTTCCGCCCTGCCCTCCGATGTAGTCCGGAGGGCACTGCCCGTCCACCAGCATTAGTGGCTGGTGGGAAGGAAACACCTAAAAGTTTTTTTTTTGGTCCCAAGGAAAGACGATAAATGGCGCCCATGCGGAGATTACGGGGCTCTCAATGCTGCATTAGTATCAAAATTCATCATAGATGCAGAAATGTGTCCAACATTGTTATAAAACCAGTTTTTATCAGAACCACAATTTTCGTTGGTCATTAAACGACTATAATACAAAGGTTTTCGATTCAATGATGATCGGCACTGACAACGCAGCCTTCTGCACATAATTTTTTGATAAGTTTCAACAATAGAACCAAAATTGATTACCAATTTTTCAGTTTACTAATTTTAAACGACGATAGACATAAACATTTTATTTGCGGTCGTTTTTAACAACCTAAACGGTTAGAAATTGATAACGAATCCTAATAAATCTTAAGTACAGCGAGAATGAGGAAATTTAAGGATCAGGATTCTTGCGGTTACGATTTAATAAAATAAAGTACGTATTAATGGTGAGGATATAATACGGAAATGGTTTATCCAGGCTCCCCACGTTTGTCTTTTTCCAAACGAACACTTACAGATATTAAGGACCTTAGAGCTCATATTTCACTTTCACCCTTCATAACAACATGCTTCCGTCGACATTAAAAGCTCTTGTGATGCCATTTAATGCTTTATCATTCATTATGTGTCGCCGATGTAAACTTCGGGTGAATATCCCAGAAACCGCACACGCAACCATTCCAAAACGTTTCAAGTCGTATATTTTCACCGATAACTCAAACTCTAAATCAATCGATCAACTTCATAAAGACGGTAGAGCTATTTCAAAATCTCATGGGCTACGAAATACGCGACAGACGGACTCTATTGCATTCATATTGTACATGGTAAAACAAAAATACTGATATGCAAGGGAAGAAAAAGTAGGGAAAGAGCTAATATAAAGAGAGGAGCCGAAAAATTAGAAGAAGTGGCTGATTTTAGGTATCTAGGAAGTCAGATAAGTCAGGGCGGAAGAAGTAGTAGGGATATAAAGCAGAGGATAGCACAGGCTCGAGCCACCTTCAATAAAAAGAAGTCACGTCTATGTTTGCGAACGGTTAATTTAGAAATTCGAAAAAGATTGTTGAGGGTGTATGTTTGGAGCGCGGCGCTGTACGGGTGCGAAACATGAACGGTGGGCGCTGCAGAAAAGAAAGGGTCAGAAGCGTTGGAAATTTGGTGTTACAGGCGAATGATGAGGATGCCGTGGACAGAAAAGGATAAAAATGAAGATGTATTAGAAAGAATAGGAGAACAAAGGACTTTATGGAAGTCAATAAAAATAGGCGAGATAGGTTGGTAGGACACCTTCTCAGGCAGAGATATATTCGAGGCAGAAATGGGAGTTAGGAGGGGTAGAGGTAGGCCTAGATTAGATTACTGTTCACAAATAGTTAAGGATGTGGGATGTTCTAGTTTTAGGGAAATGCGAAGATTAGTTCAGGATAGGAAAGAGTGGAGATGCGTGTCCAACCAGTCTTAGGACTGACAACCTTATGATGATGATGATAATCCACAGCAATTCATAACAACAGACGCTGTTTATGTTATTCCCCATAGAAATTGTATGATAGATAGGATTGCCTGATTGTTGATCATGGAAAGTTTCGACAGAAAAGAAAGGGAAAAAAATTTAGCAAACCTGTTTGCAATTTCTATCCGGAGGCACCAGCTATGGCAAGTAATATTTAAAATAAAAGCATCTTCAGTGGAGGATTCTCATAAAAATTTCGACCGCTAAAAATTCCCTAAAGGTTTTTATAAATAATGTTCAATAAAAATATTATGTGCATGAATAGACTGAAAACCACGAGAGATGTACTATAGCTAAATAGACTCAAGAATAATCCTTTCAAAATCTCTTTTTTTTATGGAAATGTTCCTTGTAAATGATAATTTTTAGTAGACGGAGGAATTGCAAAAATAGCGAACCGCACATGAGAGAAGGCTGAAAGAGCTTCAATTCAACTTCTGGGGAGTTAGAGTACAAATAAGTAGAGAAAAATTTATAAACACTGCATTTCATATATAAAGCAGAATTTATATTATTTTAAAACAAAGTAGACGTAACAAATAATACTTCGTGGAACGGAGAGACCAATAGTAAAATAAAAAAGAAAAGTTTTGCAAACTATACCATATGACATATCAAATGAAAGGGATTATTGTATTGTATTTTTATAATTTTAAAATATTTAACAGAGTAGATGAAAATTGAACATTCCCCCTTCCTTATCTCCGAAGCTACTAAACCTAAAATTTTGAAAAAAATACAGGAAATAGCTCTCTACTTGTAGATTACAGAAAAATTAATAAAAAGTCTATGGTCTGAACATAACGTGATAAATCTTTCAACGGAACAATATTGTACGTACAAATTTACATTTGCAGTTTGAATGTATGGGAGAACATGTTTTCTTTTCAACTACAATGTTAGGTTGATATCAGGTTAAGGTTCCGCACGTCCAAATAGAAAACGGAACCCTTATAGCGCGACTCGTGTGTCTGTCTGTCGGTTTTTTTTATGTATTTGTTGCCTACGAGTGATTTACAAACAAGAAATCATTATAAAAATGGTAAAAAATAGACATTGAGCACGATGATGGGATGATGAAAATAGCGTGGATAGAAGTTAAAAATGAGGAAACATTGAAAAAGGCAAGAGAACAGTGTTGGGGAAGTAATAAGAAAAGGGGGAGAAGAGACAGTACGTCGCCTTTTGAGACATGAAGAATTAGTTGGAAACGTATTAGAAGCTGAAACAAGAGTAAAGTGTGGCAGATGAAGATAAAGAAGGATTAGATCACATTACTTTTCGCAAATAGTAATGTGGAAATGCAAAGGTAGACTCGGGATAGGACGGAACCTTTAGGTTAGCGACTTTGTAATAATGATTCCAGGAAATTAAGAATTCTTCAGCTACCTTTAAATCCTTTTCAATCAAGAATATAAAATTTTCTACAAACTTAAAAGAAAAATAAATTAAAACCACAAGATGTAGGATACCTAGTGTTTGATAAACGTTATTGTGTGCAATTAGTAGAAAATTTATTGTTACTTATATACCTGTAGATGTTCATATAGTCACGTGTAGGCAACCCAACAAGTAGTGACAAGGAAGATTTTATAGACGTCACATTTCGGATCATTCTAGAACATTATGCCCAAGTTTAAGTTTAAATATATTTAGTAATAGTAAGGAGGGTGATTACGTGACAGTATTCTTTCCGATTGCTATTAAAATTTTATCATTATTTATTTTCAGTGTACGAGTATATGTATTCTTTTTAGCCCTGCCCCTTCACTAAATTCCAATGTCTATACACTCTCTTGATATCTGGCGAGAAAGCTTCAGTAAATCCTTCCCAAAAAAGAAAGAGATCTCCTTAACTGTTTTAATCAAAGTACCTCTTTGTGCAATTACATATCGATTTGCTACTAAAAAAGAGGAAATCACAAAAAGGCACTACTAGAAGTACTCATGTATGTATGCGACACGATGACGATCCATCCAATTGAACCCAAATTCATGGAAGCAATAGAACTGCTAGAGGCGCAAGTTGACATTAAACGTAGCAATTTTCGGCGGTATACCGGGGAAATGTTCGGAAAAACATTTCGATTTTCTTAAATAAAATATGACTTTGAATTTATTTAATACCCTTTCGTTGTACCGGGCGGTTTCCAGGAATTCAGAACGGTTCTCGTCGTAGTAGTAGTAGGTAGCTAATAAAAATTCTCTCCAAAAAGAAAAAGTTGTGAAGCAGTAGGCAAATAGGTATAAAAAAAATGCACATATGATATGGGATATTCAGTCAGAACCGTGAAAAAAAAAACAATAAGGAAGCCAAAATTATTTCGTCTCATCTGTATAAAATTGTGTATTCCCCACTAAAACCCTCTATAAATATTACCCCTATTTGGAATACCTTTGATATTTTACAGTTGATGCTTTTTGATAGAATATTTTTAAAAATTAGTAAAAACTGTTTGCATCCGCGTACTTTATTGACTTCCTAAGCACTCTCTGTTCTTCTATTTTTTTTAATCAACGGTTCAGTTAACTTTGAAAGTGGACATCAGCGAAATCCACTTTGCGAGGCTCTTTTTGTATGCTAATACATTGAACTACATAAAATAGAACTAAACGACAATGGGAATTTCTTATATTTTTTTTAAATAAGGTTCTAGCCTGTGTACTTCTAATTCTTTGACTGAGGAATCCCATAACTGTTGGTGTAGTCTCCCTAAGGTTCGATGCCATTGGCCTAGCTGCACGTCTATTTCTGGTACCTCCTCATTTCTAATCTATTCTATCAACGGTATTATTATCCTTTTTTAACACCAAATTTTAAAACGCTTCCGCAGCACATACGGCCCACGTTTCACATCCATACAAAGTCGTGATTCAAACATTCATTTTTAATAACCTTTTTTGAATTTCCAAATTAACGGATCCTGAACGCAAAACTGCTTTCTTTATGTTAAAATTAACTTTGATCTATATTCTAAACTAACTGACTTCCTAGATAGGTATCAGAAATCGGCGACTTCTTCTAATTCCTCGTCTCCTATTTTTATATTATAGTTCTAACTCTAACTCTAATTTTACCTGCCCTACATACCATTATGTTTTGTTTCACTTTTTATTTATCTTGATGTCATATTCGTATACGAAAAAGGTACTGCTTGACTTCACCCATCAATTTTTTATTTCAGGAAATTGATAGGGCGCACCCACCGGATGCTTTCGTGGTTGTGTATTCGGTAGTAGATAAAGCAAGTTTTCTAAAAGCTGAAGCTGAAATGACCAGGTTACAGGATGCGGATCTTCTAAGGTCAAGACCAGCCATTTTAGTAGCAAATAAGATAGACCTAGCTCGAAGTAGAGCTGTATCAACTCAAGGTAGGTATTTAATATGCTTTACCAAAAGAAACGCAATTTTTTATTTAATCAGCCTCTAGTGTCGTCTTCTCTAACACCGCTGTAGAAAATTATTTTCCATAAAAAATGGTTTTATTTCATTTATCAAAGGGTTCCAAAATGGGGTCAAAATTCATAGGAAGAACCATCACTGAGTGGGAAGCATACGCAAGGGTTTTGTTTACACTTTTCTAAAACTGCTGTTAACTGTTGTGTAAAAAAATATGAAAGAAGTTTAGGTACCATGTGGTACGCACACACCTCAAGGAGGGGAAAATGTTGTAAAAATTACCATGTTAACTCATAATCTAAGTGATTTTTCTCTCCGTAATACATTATAACCGAAAATTTCACTCATCTCACACTTCATTTTCATTTTATCATGTTTTCCGACTTACTGTTAGTATTTTACGTTCTTGTAATGTTTTTCCGAGTGTTTTTCTTTTTGTTTTTATTCGCAACGAGCTATCTGTAGATATATTCTAAATATAGTAACATGTTTTTCATGCTAGTATAGGCAAATCGATAATATCCTTTAATTAATTTTTCAAGGATCATATACGCTATCTTGAGCCAAAATTAAAACTGGTTCATCAAACAATTAATCCTTCTTGGCTTAATTGTCATATGCGCATTATGGGTCTGTCTTTTAAAGGTGTTACAAAAATAGAAACAAACTTTATTCAAAATTAGATTGAATTATCTTCCCTACTAAATTTAAACGGCTCACACAAATGTCATCCCTAATTCTGAAAGCATGTTGTGGATCATAAGGACCTACACACCGCCCAGTATATCCCCCTTATCCTCACAATCTCTAATCCTTTAACATTTCATTCCAATCACGCGCCATTATCGACCTGTTGCTCGTCAACTTGGATGTTAATAGAATAAGAATCCACATTATATACCTATATATATGTTACAGCCAAAATAATTAATCCTGATATTATTTATATTGTCCAGTCATTAACTATAATATTTACCATATAACAAATGTAGAGAAAATGATTATTGAGTTCATCAAATAACTAGAAATATTTTTTAAGAAATATCTGGTGGTAACGGTACCTAGCATAAACACTAACTACGCAAAAACCCAGAGGTCCCAAGATTGTTATGGTAACCTTAGGATTTTTTCATTTTCACTCATTTTTTTGGGAAATGTCCTACTTTTTTATCGTCATTCATCGTTTAGCGATAAATTTATTTACTAGTCATATAATTGATTAATTCTGCTCCAATAATCATTTTATTTATTGGGGTAGATACTATATGAGTATAATGACTGGATTGTATGAATAAAAGCCTGATTTAACTGTAACGTATGTAGGTACCTATTACGACCCAAAATCACATTATTTGGTCCAGTGAATAGTTTGAAATCGACCGAATGACATGGCCTAGAGGTTTAGACCACTGCTTAGCATTCGGGAGGACGCCGGTTCGATTCCGGGTCCGTCTGTCTTGGTCCCAGTTTTTCCGTGGTTTCCTGGGATCACTTAGGCAAACGCTAGAGCAGTTATATTCCACAGACCCCCCCTTTCACTCTCTTCTGTGTTCATTCCGTTCGCCTCATCTTTCTAACCCCAACCACCACCACCTACTCATTCACACGTGGCTAATATACATCATTTGCTTCGTTTATTGAAAATAGCGGACTTATTGTTGGACATATACAAAATTCAATCCTATTTGTAGATGGTAAATGTTTGGCGTGCACATATCGAGCGAAATTCATTGAAGTATCAGTTGGTATAAATCATAATGTTGACGAACTGTTAGTGGGGATTTTGACACAAATTCGTTTGAAAAGTTTCCACGTTGAAGACAAGGATCATGGACAGCAATGGTACAAAAGTCGAGGAGTTGTGAGGGCGAGCATGAAAGCCCGTCAAATGTTTACGTGGATTTTTGGAAAAGAAGACTCGAAATTCAAAAACTGCGAAAACCTTCATATCCTGTAGCTTCACCCTAAACATTTATTAACTTAATCTTATTATACTTTTGTTAAGATGCGTAAATATTATTATTATGTAATCGTAAGTCTAAAGGTAAGTCTGAAGAAAAGGACGGAAAATGAAATTATTTCAGATGCATCTGATTCCAAAAAAATATACTATACATATAGTTTTTATATTAAATATACCCCATCGAAATCAATTCACGTATTATCATAACATAATTTACTTCAGTGTTTGTAAAAAAATGCAAAATAAAAAAATAACTACAATATTCTAATTCAAATTTTCTGATTCAACAAAGGACCACAAACATATCGCTTCGTTGGCTGGGCGTTCCTTTACAAATTGGGAAATTTTTCTAATCTTAAGTTACCCAGCAACATTTTAGCATAAATATTGAATAAATTTAAGAGGGAGAGGCTGTTTAATTTGACTGAAAATTACGGTATCGTAAAATGTACAAATCATCTATCATATTTGCTATTTAAGGTACCTTTTTATTTAAAACAACGCACTTAATAAATAATTATAAAACTAACTAAGAGAAATGATATACATNCCTTTATATATTAAAGGGAAAGGGGGGAGGAGTACGAATTTTCTAAAAGATAATTACCGTGGGTCGAATTTGTGTTTTTAATTTCAAAACATTTCCGGTGTTCACGAATCCTGTTCTTAAAGCAAGTACTTGTTTGTCCTACATATGATTTATTGCAATTTAATCAATTAAGAAACAAAACAATAAAAAGAACGTCAAATTATTTTATAGATAGAATCTTTGATCAAAATAAAATAAAAGGAATAAAAACTGTGTATGTAGGTATAGCGTGGGCACAGGATAGTAATTCGGAGTTTCCTCTAGTTTTCCCGTTCAAGCAGAATGTTACGTTGGAGAGCATCATTGCATTGGAAAAATTAATATAACGTTGTAAGATGACATGCGCGTTAGACCGTTTGGCGCACGAATATTATCGAATGATGCGAATTGAACAACCCTTAGCTGAAAGCGGGGTAAGAAGGTAACAGCAGTTAGTTCTACGTGGATCCCCCATTAGTTGAGTGCAGTGGCGCGCTTTTAAAACGCGTAAATATTATAATATCGTATCATTATGACGATCGCGGACGGCATTGATAAGGATAACAGTTGAAAGTAAGCAGTGGCGGCGTTGAGCGTAGTTAGTGATGGGAATCGATTGCGGTGGCTGATGATGCGGATCGAGGTTGGCACCGGCTTAGGCCCCTGGAGCAGCCATGGAAGCCACCAGCTCTGCTCCCAGCCCCCCGGCACCTCTACAAGATGCCACTCTGACCAGGTAACGACCCGACGACGACGACGGCGTTGTCGACGTCGCGGCGTCGTAGTCGTACCTGTACTCTACGATCGATCTAAAGCGCATAATATTACTACCTTACAAACGACCAATTAGATTTTACTTCCTGTTTCCTTTTTTGTTTTTGAAGCCCATATCCTGTGTATGGAAAAATAAATAAAACAATAAAATAATTCCAAAATGTAACATTTTTCCAGTAGGTATAGCATTTGGAAGGATGTCAAAGAAAATATTAAACACTTTTTCCCTAAAATTAATTATAATTAAAAATAGTTTTCCCAAATTTTTATTTTTATTGTAAAAATAATAATCAGTTGCCTAATAAAACTTTTTATTTGTTACCCAGCTAAAATTTGCCATTAAATTACGTCGGTTTAGCAATTCTAGAATTTTTTAAAATATAAATGACACTAAGTGTTGGTTTTAACAAATTTATTAGCTTTCACTACAATTGTTTCGCTATACCGTATCTTCATCAGGTGACGGAATACGTACTTTACTACATCTGATTAACCTACGGTGCAGTAGTGAAAGTTAATAAATATGTTGAATCTTAACACTTCTAGTGTCTTTTTACAATTATTAAGTGCTTCAAGTATCATAAGTGCAGAATTTTTATTTTGTTTCAGTGTAAAACAAGAACCAAACTCAAATCCAGTGAGTCCTTTGGCAGCTTCAAGTCCAGTTTCCGGGACTACAGCATCAAACACAGGTAAGTTTATTTATAAAAATATTTAAAATTTCTTTTATTTCAATAAATACAATGGAACGCGATTAACTAGTCTATGTGGTTAATAATTTAGCGACACAAATTCGTCAAATACTTCGATTAATTACACATGTGACGCTTCTGATGAATTTCTTAAAATGTACGAAACCTAACCCAACCGAACCTTGTAGTCTCGTACGTATAATATAATTGGGAGACACTCAACTATACAATAACTCATGGTATCTCAACTGAAAACATTTCAGCAGCCCTTTACATAAAGCTGAAATACAGAATGCGAAATACTTACATTTTAAATGCATTTTATAGACATTAATTCCTTTTGTATTTGGATAGCTTTTAAGCCCAACTTCTGATTTAAAAATACTAAATACAAATTTCCACTGTAATTGATGCAGAATGCTGTTATAAATCGTAACCAAAATTCTCTACTCATAGCTACAAAATTAATAATGGTTAGAATAATCCATACGAAAATTGTTAGCGTAGAGTTCTCCAATTTCCCATAGGTATGAACTCTGTATAAACTTTACAGGCAACAGTAGAACAATTTTATCAATCAACAACAATAAAAACTAGCATTTTATTCTGGAAATTAACTATTTTCCATATGAAGCTTGTGCGACAAACACATGCGTCCTAACAGTGGCTTGAAAGCCAGAAAGCCTTTAAAAATGAGTCTCCAAATGAGACTATTTTAAAATCTATAAAAACATTTGTGTTTTGATGAGTACATTCAATTAAAAATATCTTCAGTTCTCTAATTTTAGACTAATTTAGGTTGACATAAGTATAGGTTACGCGACACGCTATTGATTTTTTTTTTATTTTTGTCAACAACAACGTATTATTTTTGCAGAAAAGCCCGTTGAAAATATAAATTAATCGTTTATTGTTTGATTACAATCGTTGTGTTGTAGATATGTATACGTTTAAATGTAGAAAACCTGCATATCTCTGGCTTTGCCTAATGCAGAAGATGTATGTTTTTATACATTAGGTTCAGAAGCACCAGGTAAACTACAGGTTACCGACCTCCTTCTATAAGAGATGAGGAAATTGCTTCTTAACAACTGTTTTTTGTATTTCAAGAAAACGACAGTCTACCAGTCTACCTTATTAACTATGCACAATTCGTTTCGCAATAAGCACAGCTAACTCGCGACATCGCCAACCAAATAAAGACATTGCTATTAAAGTTATTCTTCAAATGAAACTTTATCTGATGGTCCCAATTTTATATTCATCCGAATATTTCACGCAAAAGATATCGATTTGTAATTACCAAAATATTAATATGAAGGTTTGAATTTAAAATATTGTCCAGAATGCGTTAGGCTTATTCTAAAGTGATTAGGAGAAAACCCCCCAATGCGTTAGGCTTATTCTAAAGTGATCAGGAGAACAACCCCTATTGCCCATTTATAGAAATAGTAAATCGTATGTGGTTAAGTCGACGAATGATCGTCGGATTATTAATACAGATTATTGATTGTTACACTCACACACGAATACTTTATCAGTTGATATACTCGAGAAGGGGTAAATTGGTCACNGTGGAACTCAATTTTGCAACACTCTGTGTATATATTTAGTCATATGTGGATAACTTCATGTTACTGAACACAAGCCCAATGATGTGATTCTGTGGTATACACTTTCTTTAATCTATGATATGATGTCAATTAAAAAAGGTTATGTTCAGTTATTTAATAATGTGTATGGAGGTGATTTTCAAATTTTCTTCATAAATTTGGATTGTTTACCTGTTACGGGGTTTTTAATTAAAATGTTTAGCAAATTAGCTGTACCTTTAGTGATCTCAATTAGTGTTACACCGTTAATTTTGGTCTTATACCTGAAAAATAGACGTAAACAAAAGCAGGTTAAAGACACTGATTGTATTAAGTGCATTTTTATCACTGCAAGAAATAGTGACTGCCGTAACCATTTAATGAATAATTATACCTGTAGTCCGAGCTGTTCAATGACGTATTTAATTGAAATTTTGAAATTTCTTAAATCGGCCAAACAAACTATAAGTTTGTGCATGTACATGTTAACATTAGATAGTGTGTACGAAACGCTAGTGGAAGCTCATAATAGTGCAATAAATGTTCGTGTAATAGCAGACAGTGAAATGTCCCGAAATACATCATCAAAAATCATATCTTTGAAAAGCAAAGGTGTGTATTTTGTATCAATTTATTAACTTTATTGCCAAATATTTTCTTGAGCCTATTTTTAGCTTACTATTATTACTATCTTGGTCCTATCTGTTTATTGTTAATTACAGGTATTCCAGTTAAAATGCAACCCCTTGATGGTAGTCTGATGCACCACAAGTTTTGTTTAATTGATGAAACTGATGTTCTTTCGGGTAAGCTCTTTTTTGGAAGTACAAATCTTACATTACAAGGACTTTCATCAAACTGGGACCAAATAATTTTCACAAATAAATACTCTATTATAAAACGTTTTAGTGAAGAATTTGAATATTTGTGGCAAGAATTAAATTAGATTAAAAAGGTATGTACAAAAACATAATTGACTGATAGAACAAATTTTTTACTGCTTAAAACCAAACGCTAATTTTTTGAATATCTGGTGTATACTGATATCTTAAGACATTTTTACTGATCAATGTGCTAAGTGCTAAAAGAAACAAATACTGGATTATGAGTAAAATGATCCTTTATATCAATGAATAACTACTAAGTGTACTTATTGAGGATATAAAAAATATGAGACGTAGCTTCAGGGGTAGTTCTTATATTGGATAAACAAAAAAAATTAAAACAGAATATGTCATGAAAGATTAATTTATTCGAATTTATATAAATACAGTAGTAAAGTATTAAAGTCGTTTTATTACATTGAACTTAGTAAAAAAAATGCACAATATGTGTGGTACATATAAAAATGAATTATTAGTCATGCATGTCTCCTAAAGTTCGTCCATTATAAGGCAAAGTAGAAGGCACCACGTTCTGTTAATATTAGAAAATCAAAAATATACACAGTGATAATACTATAGTTAAAGCTGTAAAATATGAACACAAAATTGACATTAACGTTTCATCTTTTCGAGAATTGGTATGACCATATCAAACGTAGGTCTTTTGCCAGGATCTTCGTTCATACATATCCTAATCAGCTTCTGGAGGTGAGCGGAAATGCCTGGTTTCATGGTAACACGTAGACCTTCAAGAGCAATTTTCATTCCCACTTCCATAGCCGATTGATCTGCAAAAGGCACTTCTCTTGTTGCCAATTCCCATAATAATATAGCAAAACTCCACATGTCAGAAGATTCCCAATTCCTATCTGATATTTTCTTTTGTAAAGCCTCTGGGGACATCCAGGCAGGATAATATATCCTTCCTTTCTCTTGGAACGAAAATTTTGCATCTGCCATGTTAACTCTTGCTGTCAGATCTTCATCTATCATAACATGACGACTGTTAAGATGATATTCTGGAATTGTCCTTTCCAAACTGTGTAAAAAAGACATTCCACGTGCAACATCTAGAGCAAAACGTAATGCTAGAGCTGTGTCCACAACAACCCCGCTTCCTTCGTGAAGAACTGTATAAAGAGAGCCCCAGTGCATGTATTGGTTGATAACAACAAGATTAGGAGGCGAGTTACAACACCCAATCACTGGCAGAATGTTAGGATGTGAAAAGATTCTCAATTTTGGAAATTCTTCGTTAAAATCGCGAGAAATTCGTGACGTGCAGTTTCTTACTGCTAATATTTTCGCAATGATTTCGTTCTTTTGCCAAATTCCCCTATAAGTGTCTCCACTTGGTGTCGATGCAACTTTTTCTCGTAATTGTAAATCTTTAATGTTGATTCCCTTGTGCCTTGACAGGGTAGCATCTCGTGAACGTGTTTTTAATCCAATCCAACTCTGATCTTTGAATGTTATTTTTTTTAAATCCTGTCCTGCTTCAACAGCAATATCATGGAGAGCCTTGGCCAGGTTTCCTTTTGCTTTATCCAAGGGTGTATCACCATCTTTGTTAGCAATTGAAACTAAAGCTCCATGATGAACTAGATCTTCTGCTATTTCATTGTAACCCCAAAAACAGGCATAGTGAAGAGGAGTATTTCCATGTTCATTTGCAAAGTTAAGGTCTGCTTTCTGACGAAGTAACTAGAGCAAAATTTAAACTATTAATTTAATTGAAAGAATTAGAATATTAGACTATCCTTTGACCAATAACACTAAAAATTAAATGGGGCTTAAATAGAAAAATTACCATTAACACAATATTTCNAAAAAACTATAATGGCTGACATCAGTGACAATGCGACAACAATTGAAAAAGAATGATGGCCGTCAACTGCAACAATTAGAAAAGAATGATGGCCGACATTACGTCATAGTAGAGCAATAAAAATGGCCGGGGTCAGGGGGAAGAACTAGTATACTTTTCAAATTCGTCTTGCCTAAAAAATATAAATGTTTCCTTGTTGCTATTCTTATTATTAGAATGTTATTTCGTAAAAAGTGTCAATTTATAAGATATATGTATATAGAGCGGCGAAAAATTTTAGTGGAAAGGACTCATCTATAAAATCAGAAAAACAAAAAGAGACAGGTAAAACTAATAAAAATAATAATAAATAAAAGAAAGTGATTAATAGTTAATTTAAAATTGGTGCTATGGATTATACTGTAATTGTAAGTTGTTACATAATATCTAATTACGTAAATAATTGTCCATTTTGAAACTCATCATTCCATTTTACTTTCCTTTCATTCACGATTTGCGATTAACATACATTTTTGTTGGTTTGATATTGGAAATTGTTCTATCACGTATGTACCCTACAGCATATGCTGCTAATAATCTACACATATTTGTTTCTGTAAAGGCTTCTACAAATAAAAGGGGCTGCTCTATATATATATGGGAATACAAGCCTATAATACGAATTTAATGTGAATGAAATTTGAAAATTGTTTAAAAAGAGCCCGAAATGATGAATTACCTTCTTCAATTTCGCAAAAACACATTTCCATCGAAACACATGTCATCTTACGACACCCTGCCGCGCTTTTATATCATACAAATTTAAATTGGCTTTTTCTATTTTTAGCTTTAAAAATTTAAAATAATGCTAGTAATTAATTTGCAAGCGAGGAATGCTGTTATTTATTTATGACCTATTTTTTTCATTCACGAATTATGTAGGAGTTGATAATTTCTAAAAATATCCAAATTAGGAAACGACATTGACAACTTAACCTACACTAGTTGTAATAAAATTCGTGACTTACCCCTGATTTAAATCATGTTCAGTATCATCTAACCATACTCTTACTTGCATTGCATTTCCTTCTCTGCACCACTGAAATATATCTTCCATTTTTGGCAATTTCTTTATAACTTAACCGAGTTTCTAAAAATAAACAAACTGGGCGTTCACTACTTCTTAACACAAAACCTCCACAAATTATATACAAATCATTTTTCTGTTTATAACTTTATTATTGTGGTAGAGTTCTTCTCAACATTCCGTTTTAGTATTTGAATGCAAATATAAACTATTTCTTAAAAAAAATTTTTTTCGTTTGCATTGTAACACATTACACACATGTCATACTTGTGTCATACTTTTAACACCCCCTCTCTTATTATTTAACGTAACCTTCCAAAATTTTTCCAGTGGTGTAGGCCAGTAAAAGCTTCAAAAGGCGCTTTTTAACTATTTTTGAAACTCATTCAGAATGTTCAATTAACTATGATGGTGTATATATTTAGTCATATGTGGATAACTTCATGTTACTGAACACAAGCCCAATGATGTGATTCTGTGGTATACACTTTCTTTAATCTATGATATGATGTCAATTAAAAAAGGTTATGTTCAGTTATTTAATGGGAGAGGCTGTTTAATTTGACTGAAAATTACGGTATCGTAAAATGTACAAATCATCTATCATATTTGCTATTTAAGGTACCTTTTTATTTAAAACAACGCACTTAATAAATAATTATAAAACTAACTAAGAGAAATGATATACATCAAGGTACTATACTTTTCAGTTCAAAATTATGACGAGGAAACTGCTCATGAATTCATAGGACAAACTTTCGATTAAATATTCAAAATACAGTTTAAGTAAGTTTCTATGTATCGTTTAACATTGATCAATTAATGTTGAATACGTTTATCTTCGCTGCACACGATACAGCGCCTAATTCAAAATTTTAAAGGGAAGACTGCTCATAAAATCATAGGAAAAACTTTTGATTAAATATTCAAAATAAGGTTTAAATAAGTTTCTATTAAGTTCCAGCAATTGATCGTTTACAATTGATCAATTGATGTTGAATACGTCTATCTTCGCTGCAGAAAACACAGCTCGTAGTTCAAAATTATGATGGGGAGACTGCTCATAAAATCATAGGACAAACTTTTAATTAAATATTTAAAATACAGTTTAAATAAGTTTCTATTAAAATCCAGAAATTTATCATTGAACATTGATCAATTGATACTGAATAGATTTATTTTCGCTGCAGACAACGCAGCTCGTTGTTCAAAATTATGACTGTTCATAAAACCAAAGGACAAACTTTTGATTAAATATTTAAAATACAGTTTAAATACGTTTTTATTAAGATCCAGAAATTTGTCATTGTCATTGATCAATTAATATTGAATACGTCTATCTTCGCTGCAGACGACGCAGCGTCTAGTTCAGAACAATTGTAACACGGCAATGTTAATAAAGTCCTAGAACAGACCCGCGATTAGATATTCAAAATATACTTTAACCATTAATTTACCGTTTGAATTGAATTGCATAACTAAAATTGTAATTAATTAATTCTGTACAAAAGACTTTGGCTTGGTGAAACACCAGGGGGGATGTTTATAGATATTTAAGATACATTTATCATTTTTTAAGTAAGAGATTCAGTGTTGTGGGCTGCAGATTCAATATTAATTGAAATTTAAATATTTATCTGCGTATTTCATGTTGCATTGACGCCGAACGACGAATTTCCCACTTTGCTGAGAACCAGCCAACTATTTTTCGCCTTAATAATAATTTTCCTATCATAGTTATATACATATGGTATATCTTTACATAAATTTTAATTATAAAACTCATTCATAATTTATGTTTACTCTCTATAAATCATAGATAAAGCAAAGCTATTTTACAATATTCAATCAATATTATCTTTTACATGTTATTACATAAAAATAAAACTGTAGAATAGTAAAACATTTTATATACCTTAAGTACTTACAAAAACGTACAGTATTAAAATCAAAATCAAAAATAAAATAATTACCTAAAAGGATACAATTTCGTTGTCAAACTATTAGCATAAATTTGATAACTACCTTATTGTTAAGCATTATTCCCTAAATCAGAAAAAAATGGTTTTTATTGAAAGCAACAAAGTAATTAAAAAAAAAATAAAAAGCATTTGATACCTTTCAAATTCGTCCAAGTGTTTTAATTGGAAAAAGTTAAATTATAATTTATTAGTCCCACACATAACGAAATTCAACTTTAATTAAAATACTTTCCACGATCTCTTTTAATTAATAGTCCGTTTGTAATTGTTGTAACATTTCGGACGGGAATTGTTTCTTAAAGGCAAAGTTTGTTCTTTATGAAAAAAATTGTGTTTGTCTTAGATCAAATCTAAGGACGATGTTAAAAAAATCTTTTAAACAATTAATTTGTCATAATTTAAAAAAATTAATGAAATAGTAGTTATCATTTTTTTTGCATTAAGATTATGAGAACAAACTTTTAATATACAGGGTGTTAACGCAATCAGTGAATTTACTGTCAGCTAAAAAATAATCTTTTGCCTAAATCATAAACTTGAAACGAGAATTTAA